TTGAATATTTATTAGTATAATATATATATGATATATATATATACTAATATATATATATATATATGTGTACATATATATATACACACATATATATATATATTATTGTATATATAATATATATAAAGATATATTATATATGATATATACATATATATATATATATTTAGTTTCTGGCTCATTTATAAGCAATTGGGGATTGAAACGATACATGTTCGCATTGATTAAGATGATTCCGAACGGTTAAGTTTTTTGCAACACTTCAGATATTCCAGATATTTCAGACATTTCAGATATTTGAACTGTTGTTGGCTTATCATCAAGTACTTTCGGTTTGAAACAGTGTCAGTGTTGAAAAAATGTCTGGAAAGTTTGAATTATTTGAAATATCTGAAGAATCTGGTATGTCTGGAAACTATACTGGTTGTCGGTGCTGTTTAGCGCGTTCCAACGTACTTGATATCAGAAACCTCAGAACTGACGATTCTGAACGGTTTAGATTTTTGTAACATTTCAGATGTTTCAAACATTTCAGATATTTGAACTGTTGTTGGTTTATGATCAAATACTTTTGGTTTGAAGCAGTGTCAGTGTTGAAAAAATGCCTGGAAAGTTTGAAATATTTGAAATATCTGAAGAATCTGGTATGTCTGGAAACTATACTGGTTGTCGGTGCTGTTTGGAGCGTTCCAACGTACTTGATATCAGAAACCTCAGAACTGACGATTCTGAACGGTTTGGGTTTTTGCAACATTTCAGATATTCCAGATATTTCAGACATTTCAGATATTTGAACTGTTGTTGGTTTATCATCAAGTACTTTCGGTTTGAAACAGTGTCAGTGTTGAAAAAAGGTCTGGAAAGTATGTCTGGAAATGTACTGGTTGTCGGTGTACCAGAAACCTCAGAACTGACGATTCTGAACGGTTTGGGTTTTTGTAACATTTCAGATATTTCAGACATTTCAGATATTTGAACTGTTGTTGGTTTATCATCAAGTACTTTCGGTTTGAAGCAGTGTCAGTGTCGAGGAAAAATGTCTGGAAAGTTTGAAATATTTGAAACATCTGAAGAATCTGGTATGTCTGGAAAGCATTGGCTAGGGAGAATTGGAAATGATAGAACAGATTGGGTTGTTTGCAGTGAATGTATCGTTGATGCCGCCTGTACTGTCTGAAATTTCTGCAATATTTGGAATTTCCTGAATCACATGGAAGATGCATTTAGACCGCCCGCGTATGGAAAATATGGAAACAATAATAGCTGATGAATCTGAAATGTCTGAAATACATGTGTCGTCTCTAAAGCCTGAAATATATGACCATTGAGAAAGTGTGTTGCATGCTTGAAATATTGCAAAAAGTCCAGAACAAACTTCAGATTTTCAGATTTTCCAGATCTTTCAGAATTTTAAGTTATCCAAGCCTTTTGGAAGATGTATACATCCTGCGCTCTAAGGTTTAGAATGCAATGTGATCCTGTTACTGAAACCTTCGAGACATATAGAAGCAACAAAGACAATTTTAGAAGGCAGTGTGATTCTGTTATTGTAAGGTTCGAAACATGTAGAAGCAACAAAGACAACACCTGGATCACAGGATGGCCTGTTGCCTAAAAGTAGTAGTATTAGTAATAGTAACAGTGACAGTAATAGCAATAGTAATAGTAATAATAACAGTATAGGAAGAGTAAGAGTAATTGCAATAGCACTAGCATAGTACGTGCAAACGGAATCGTAATAGCAATAAGTAATAGTAATAAGCAATAGTAATCGTCATCGTAATAGTGATAGTAAGAATATATTAAAATCCAGAAGAAGAGGAAGAAACATGACCACAATAGGCAACAAAACTAATAACAATATGAATGACAGCAAAAACAACAATAGTAATAATCATTATCACCATTATCAGCGCCGTCATAGCAATAATAGCAAAAAACCAATACCATTCTTATTGCTTTTATTCATATTCGTATACAGGCATTCTCTTGTGGAACAGGGTGTCATGCAAGGCTTAAGGCTAGGGGTTAGGTATTGGCGCCTTATTCATGCTTTGTCAAACCCTTCACAGCGGTTCATAAGGTCCTTAGCCACCCCCCTAAACCGGCCGCACTCCAATCGTCCCCGTCATCTACAGCAGCGTCATCCCGAGGCCTGCAAACCCTGATGCCTCCAGCCCCATTCAACCAGAAGCCAAACACGCTGAAGCTCTGTGGATTTCACAGCAGCAGATGGCAAGCGGTAACCTTCGATAAGCGAACTTCATGAAGTTGGGAGGCGGGGGACTGTTTGCAGCCATGCACTGCGGGCTCCTAGTGCAGAGCTCTGCAGGTCAGTGCCAGCCTGGCTGGCGCGTACTGTCCGATCGCAGGAGGTCACGCCAGGTGCTCTGCTTAGAGGCAGCCTCCCTTTCAGGGGTCTCGTGCGCCTCTTTCGCATGCTGCTTGATCGCTAAGGTAACCGCGAGACTCGAAGTTCCTTTGCCTTTGTGGTACAGGCTAGCATTCCTGTACACAGACCAAAAAAGACAATATTGCTAGCATCGATGATGACTGAATCCATGGGTAAATGCGGCTAAACGGTCGAGTACTTAAGTCATGATAAATATAACCATCGTTATCATCATCATCATCATCATCATCATCATCACCCTTGCTGAGGCCGCTGCTCGGTCCCAAGGTAGCCGCGCAACCGCCAGCCACCTGAGGGCTTAGAGCTTTGGGGGCTGTAGGATACCCCTAAACCTAAACTCTAAACCCCAAAACCCCAAAATCCCAGAACTCCAACATCCCAAAACCCTAAACCCCAGAAAGAGCATGGGCCTTCTCAACCCATAGACCCCTAAACTCTAAACCCCAAACCCTAAACCCTTATCGCCCTCGGCTTCATCCTCGCCTTCATCGCCATCGCCAGTGTCATCTCATCATGACCACCATCTCTGCTAGTCACCGTATGTGTGAAAAAGTGTGGGTAAAGATGTATATATATATATATGTATGTATGCATGTACATAAACATAAAAACATACATAACATACATGTTAATGTATGCCTATATATATATACATACATACATACATACATACATACATACATGCATACATACATACATACATATGTGCATGTATGTGTATATATATATGTGTATATATATATATGTACATATGTATATGAAAATATATGTGCGCGCAAATTTCCCGTGAACAGGAGCATGAGCGCTAATGTGGACAAGGTGTAAATATGTGTACATGTACATATGTACACGAGTGCATATGTATGTATGTATGTATGCATGTATGTATGTATGTATGTATGTATGTATGTATGTATGTAAGTATGTATGTATGTATGTATGTATGTATGTATATAATATATATATATATACACGTTTATACACCAAACCAAATCCATAACATATACATGTATACTTATATTTATGAACACACATATACATATACATATATATATATATGTAATATATAACTGTGTATATATATGTATACACTGTAGCAAGAAGTACATAAACCTCAGCACCTGCGGGAGGAGACTCCGGGCCCTCGCCGCCCTCAGCCCAGAGCAGCGCTTTCTCCCCAAAGGCCGCACCTCTGAGTTTGGTTTTAGGGCTTAGCCTTTAGGATTTATAGGGTTTAGGATTTATAGGGTTTAGCGTTTATGGGGTTTAGGGTTTAGGGTTTCGGGCTTAGCCAGAAACTCCAATACCCCTTAATTCAGGAATATACCTTAAATCTCATTAGGGATCCTACTTTTCATAATTAAGGGGTATTGGAGGCTCGCAGTTTGGGTTTAGGGCTTGGGTTGTTGAGGCTTGGGGATTTAGGGATTAGGGACTAGGGTTTTGGGGTTTGGGGTTTGGGTTTAGGGCTTAGGTTGTTGAGGCTTGGGGGTTTAGGGATTAGGGATTAGGATTTTGGGGTGTGGGGTTGTGGGTTTAGGGCTTGGGTTGTTCAGGCTTGGGGGTTTAGGGATTATGTTTTTGGGGTTTGGGATTTAGGGGTTGAGTTTTGGGGTTTTGGGGTTTAGGGTGTAGGTTTTTTGGGGGATTAAGGCTGCACCTCTCAGTTTCGCTTGGGGCTCAGAGTCCAGGGTTCCCAGAAGGTGCTTCTATAACGAGGACTCCTATGGTTCGGCTAGGGTTCCTGAAAAGGGACTTAGGGCTTTCAGGGTTTAGGGTTTAGGGCTTAGGGTTTTCAGGGTTTGAGTGTCAGGGGCTTGGTGTCTAGGCTCGCTTTGCATTGTCTCGCGCAGTTGAATTGTAAGCCTGTGCGGAACTAAGTCTGGATTTTAGGCCGGTGGTTTTATAACGCTTGACAGGTCTTGCCACAGTCTTCTTTGTCCCACTACAAGCTCCTGAGTGCCCTCTTCAGGTTTGTGAAACGGGTCATAGAGTCATAGAGGCACTTGTAGCGTCCGGCAGCGACTCTGCTGCCTGCTGTAGGGACCTTAATAAATAGAATAGGATTTTGTGCTACATTATACAATAATCATCATAATAATAAGTATAACCCCAAAATAGTATATCTATCTTACTGTCGGACGTACGAGCCCAAAATAGTATAGGTAATTATTGAGACCCCCAAAAATGGCAAGTCTTGAAGCTGCTCCATGGGCTCTCTCAGCTGTGGCAGCTGCTGCCGGAGTCTGCTCTGCATCAGAGGCAGCAGGGGGCCCCACTTCACGTCTCTAAGCAAGTGAGGATCTTTGATGCAGCCGGAGGCCTTCAGTAGTTCTCCCTTCTGGCAAAAGCCAGAAAGGCAGGAGCATGCCGAGTGGCCACGAGACTTAAACCGTGCTAGGGTGGCTGTGCATTGCCCTGCCCGTGCGTCTCCTTGCCCTGAAGCTCAGCTGGTGGGGGAAGAAGCTGCACCACTTCGGGCTGAGCAGACAGCGGTAGAGTCTTCAGGTCCCTCCTAAACCCTAGACCCTAAACCCTAAACTTAAACCCTATACCCTAAACCCCTAGGCCATTCAACCCTAAACCCAGCAGGCTAGGATGTAGCATGTAGCACGTGGGGGCTGTCGTGTCTGGCAGCTTTGGGTTTGACTGTGGCCCTTGGCGAGTTTATGGGTTTAGGGTTTAGGGTTCAGGGTTCAGGGTTTAGAGTTTAGGGTTTAGGGACTAGGGGTTTACGGTTCAAGGCTTAGGGAATAAGGAAACCTTCCAGGCAGCTTTCATCGGGCTTCGTAGGGAATACAAATCCCTAAACCCTAATAACCCCACCGAAACCTAAACCCTAAAACCCCCGCAACCCCTAAAACCTCAAACCCTAACCCTTAGAACCCCACCCGAAACCTCAAAACCTAACCCTCAAGCCCCCGAAACCCCTTAACCCCCAGACCCTCAAACCCCGGAACCCTGAACCCAAAAGCCCTCCTGCCACCCCAAAAGCGTCTCTTGAGGGTGTGTCGGGTTTGCAGCCGGGTCGCCGGCTTGAAAACACCAAGCTCTAAGGTTTAGGGTTTAGGGTTCACGGTTTTAGGGAGGTTGAGGGTTTCGGGTTGAGGGTGGAGCTTGTTACTGAATTGTTTGCAGGGTCTTAGACTCTTGGAGGACTACATGTAGCATAATTTAGTGGCGGCTTTTGGTGCCTAGTATAAGGCGATGCCATCACTAATGATGTAAACTCCGCTTTAGGCTTTCGGGCCTATGGCTTCATATCCAAGCCGAGGGTTAAGCTTTAGGAAATACCATTTTAACCATATACACTGCTGGAGAGCTCCGGAGAACAGCAGCAGTATCTATCACAGAAACCATACGGTCGATGATATCAAGTCCTGTATTACCTTAAGGACCCTAAACTATGGGAAGTATGGTATATCTCTTATTATGGGTAGTGCAGGATTTATATCATATATCATCAACCGTAGTAATGACTGCAAAAATTAGTCCTTAAGGTAATGCAGGCTTTGTATCCTCAACCGTCTTGCGAGTCACGCTCAACCGTCCTTGCTGCAATTCAGCGCAACTGGAAGCCCGGCTGAACCCGAATGATGGGGCCTTAACAATTCGAACAGGGTTTTTTTTGGGGGCTCCTTATAAAAATTGTAGTAGAATCCTTCTAAGGGATCCTTAAAGGGTTCTATAAGGGGACCTATGATCGAGTTCTATATTAGCGGCCTCAATAATTAGCATAGGGTTTTGGGCCCATTATACTATAATCATCATAAGGAACCCGCAAGAGAGTATAGGTAATTTTTTAGGCCCCTATGTTAAACCCTAAACCCTCGTTCCTAAACCC